GTGCTCATTTTTCTTTCCAACTTCCCAAGGTAATCTTGCTCCCACCAGCTGCACAACCCTCTGCATGATCTGTATTAGATTCGTCCTTTTCTTCTGGACAAGTCAGGCAACTTAAAATACATTGTTACATACACATCTGCAGTTCTACACTCTTCATAAGGTTATGCATTTAGTTAGTAGCTTTCTAAATGTCTATTTACAAGTTTTGTCTGTAATTGCACTGAGCCTGCACTGCTTGGCATGGTCAGTTATACCTAAAGGCACAACTTGTTCCCTGGCTAAGGTGACAGCAGGTGACGAATTTTCTGAAGGAAATTACCAACCACCAAGGAATTGTTGCCACATGCAAAGCTCAGAAAGGAAGGTCAGAGCTTGAGTGGGCCAGTTCCCTCTTCCCCCTTCACTCTTTCACAGAGCTGATGTTTTCCATGCTGCATGTGCTACAATGGCCAAGCTGTCTGCACTTCATAGACCAGACACTTGACACAAAGTTTTACCACAAGCTGTCATTGTATGGCTACATTTCTGAGCGTGTGCCACTGTCTGCCATCCTGTGCCCTGAGGTCTTCAGTGTTTCTTCATCAAACCAAGCAGCTGTCGAAATGTGCCTCAGCTCCATCCAGCACACATTCCCCAGCTTTCCTGTCCAAGGAAAAGGCGAGAAAGGACAGCAAGTACCAAGGTCTTGCTCCAGTGCGGAGCTGGGATGTGGCCAAGGACAGGCTCCCAGGCTCCTAGTGTAGATGTAGACCATTATACCAAGGAATTCTTCAGAGAATATCACACAAATCTAAGTTGTTTATGAGCTGGCTTCAGCACGGGTTTGCACCAGTGTAAAACTGGAGCAACTGCACTATCTTTGACAGAGTCCTTCTCAGTCTAAACCAATGCAGTTTAAAGCAGAATCTGTCCTTTTACTTTGGATAATGATCTAGAAATGCTGCCCTAAAGATACAGAAACAGAGGATTTTGCCTGAACGCAAAGAGAATTGTTCACAGATCTGACCCAAAGCTGTCAATTTAAATGATCCAAATGTAACTCAAAGGGACCTGATCTTTGTATTAGGAAAAATTTGGTAAAGCACTGGGATGCATTAGGACCACCAATTTCTATTAGGTCAGGTTTTGTCAGCCTTCCTGATACTGTCACACCTTGTTTTATGACAAGTTCCAGTGACATGCATATAAATATTCCCAGAGTATATTTCTGTGCAGTGCAAACAGTTATGGGAAAAAATATCCCCTATCAGCCTGTCATCCGAGCTGTGGTACTTCCCAGACCATGGCAGGGCAGAGTCAGAGGGATTAATTTGCAGCACTACTGCAGTCTGCTAAAAATGCTGGAAATGGTTTAAGGCTGTCTGCTCGCCTCTGCCCTGAACTGCCCTGGGGCTGTTCCTAAGTCATGTTCTAGCTGGCCTTAAGGACTAGCTGGGAGGAAGCATGCTGCTCTGAATATCTCTGCATATTTATTATTGTGTAGGTTGGGAAAATGAGTCTTGAAGACAGAAAAATCACACACTTGTGATCACAGAATTTTGCTCTGAGGACCCTGACAGGGGCAGAGTCTTTGACATCCAGGTGTGCAGTCCTTCCTCCTGCCTGTGCACTGTTTGCACTGTGTGGCACAGCAGCCAAACAAGCTCAAAGGCTGGGAGGATTCAAATTATACTCACCATCTCACACAAAATATGTTCAACATTTTTTTTCTCTCCCATTTTGATATTACTAGGTTCAGGTAATGGAATCCCTAGTGAAACCATATTAGAAACTGGTGAAGTCCCTACAAGCTTTCAGCCAGAATGATGTGTCTAGTTAATGGGATAAGTTTTTCACAAAGATCTTGAAAATCTCTGTGAAAATAATAAAATAATTTATGAAAGTCTGACCCTGCCTTGTTTTAAATTTGTGCATCTGTCAAAACCAAAACCATTTTTGAGTTCACTGCATAAATTGGATAAGGTCCACATTCCCTGAGCTGCATAACATGACTTGTATCTGCTCATTCCAGAATAGATTTTTCCTTTTCCTGTTCTTCTCTTCCGAAACACACACACACAAAACCTCCAAAGAAACAAAAAATCCTCCAAACAGAAAAAACAGCTTCCCCATTGTTTTATTTCCATAACTGATAGAGTAGTTATTTTAAAAGGTAGTACAAACCTTATAAATTCAAAGAAAGGTAACACTGGAATGCCCACCAGTGCTGCCCACAGTGAAGAAAACACATCCAGGGTTTTTATCACTTCAAATAAAAAATTCGGTTCTGCAAGGAGAAAATCCCCTCTCTTCTGTTCCAGACTCTACAGATCATTAGGTAGGTAAAGAAAACTTCTGATCTTTTGATCATTCACAGTTCTTTGGAAAGAAGTTTCCCACAAGGCTCATGATGCTCTAAGTCACTTTTATTTTTTCTGTTCTGCAGCCTCCCTCTCTCCAAGTTGAAACTCACACAGAACAAAAAAGCACTGCTGAGCTCAGCAGCATCACGAAGGAGAAATCTGTGGCACCCTAAGGCCTGATTGTATAAAAATGTGTAACGTTACCAGAAAGGGGAGTGGGAAAACATTCCCATGACTGCTTGGTAGGGCTTCACGCCTATGGGGCATGTGTGAAGAGAGCTTCACACCTATGAATATCCTGGAGTCCAAACCTCATCTCTTCTCTGAGATCTTAAATAATATTCCAGCTGGGGACCCAACTATAAACATTTTTTGCACTTAGAGAGCAATAAAAAAAGAACACATGGGATAGGAAACACTTGGTTAAATTTGCAGCTTTTCTCTTCATTATAAATAATGAGAATGCATCTTTTCCTTCCTCCTCCTGTCAGCCACCTTCTGTTCCCTTGTTTCTGCTGTACTGCCATCTAAACACTCCTACCTTTAATCTTTTAAATACCTGGATTAATTTATGGCATCTAGAATACTTTGGGGCATAAAATTGCATATGGCAAGCTCTTACAGGAGAAGAGTAAAATTAACCCTTCTTCTATGAGACCAGTCCCCAACACAGAGAGGATCCCAACCTTGAAAATTCCTGATATACTGACTCTGCAATGAGAACTGCAAAATCTCACTCAGTGAGATTCTACAGAGAAAGTCTAAACTTACACACTTTCCTAGATTGGGTTTGTGTGCATGTAATGATAAAAATATAGAAAGATATTGTTCCTTGAGTATCTTAAAAGATTTGGATGGAAATAGAGTACAAAAGATCAGACCAGGTTCTTAAATTGTGGGTGCAAGACAAACCAATCTTCAATTGTTTGAATTTTTGTTTGCCATTGGAAATCAGAAGAGGCATTTCACCAGGGAACATATTGGCTTGCTGTATTTCAGAATGTTACTTCAGCTGGACAAACTATAAGCATTTTTGCAGTTGCAAACACATCAAGTATCTCAAGGTTTTAGCGACAGAGCGGCGTTGTGTCCTTAAGACATTATATTCCTATAGTAGAGCATATATTCCCATAGTTTTATTCAGATCATCAGAGTAATAAAATAATAGTTTTCTCTTGCTGAATTGCTGTTGAATCAAACAGCTCATTTCTCTGCTTCTCAGTGAAGAGAAATAAGGTGTTTTTTCCTGCGCTTGGCACTGGAGTTTTAGGGTATTTTTAGAATGTTTCCAGTTATGGACCCATCTGCATCCTATTCCACAATTACTGCACAAAGGAAAGAGAAGCAGAACTGCATAATAACAGAGGGACAAAGAAATTTCTCCTCATATTTTCCCCTCTCTTAACATGAAAACAGATTTCTAAATATTATCATCTACCATCTCATTTGAAAGGCTGCACTTCACCACTGATGAATTAGCTCTATTGAAATCATAGTATGGGTACACTGCTAAACTCATGTTTGCAAGCTAGCATCACCTAAATTAGAGTTTTATGACACAGTATTGGGAAAAAAGGTTATGAACACAGAACCTGATTTTAACTGGGAATGTAGTACTCAATTTAATAGGGAAATTTAGTCATTGAGGGAAGCATTTTTAAAAGCCATATTGTCTGGAGGAACAGATACATCCCTATCTTTCAAACTATCTTCTCATGGGTCTTAATAATAGTACTTTTCAAACAGGTTTTTGTAATGAAATAAGTATTAACACACATACATAGATTGCACACAATTCTCAGTTGTTATAGCACAACCCTACTCTGCTTCTCACTCATCTCATATTGCAGCTTTCCTGCTTTTAAAGGGCTAGACTTCCCCATAACAGATTTGATTGTAAATCTATTAAACCCTTTATAATGCAATGCTTCAGCTATGGGTTGTATCTTTAGCCCATTGCACATATGCAGAACTGAGGCCCCAAAAGGCTGAACAAGCTGCCTAAATTTATACAGTAAGTTAGCGTGAGAATGGAAAGATGAAGTTTATTTTCCTTCCAGTTCTACACTTAACCTAAAGTTTCTACAATAACATAAACAGAATGCAGAGCTTAGACAAAGTCTGCTGCATTTGCCTGGTGATTCCTTTTTAAATGAACAGAGATTATTTGTCTCTCCTTTCCTACACTTAGAGTTTGAGATCATCTTAAAAAGGCTCAAACTAAGTGCTTAGCTAATTTTTGAAAAAAAAAAAACCCAAACTATCTTTATTTTCAGTTTGAAAGTAAGCAGTGGTTTCCCTGTGTGCCTGGTGCATCCCTGGTGTCAGTAGGTGAGTCCCCTCCTCCCTGTCCCACCAGGGCATTTCTCTACCCCTTGGCAAGGCAAGAAGTGAGAGCTGTGCCTTGAATATCACATGCCATTAGAGGAACAGCTCTTTCTTCCACGAAAATGTGCTCTTCCACACACAACAGAGATCACACATAGTAAGCCAAATACACTAATATTGATACTGATAGTTATGTGACCTGTGCAAAAACATGTTTAGTTCAGAAATTAATATAATGAAGTGTTGTATGAATCTTAAATGTTGTTTTATTGTAAGGGAGAAATACAGTTTGGAATCTAAAGGGCATTTCTCTTACCCTTCCATCTGTAATTCCCTCAGCTCTCCACACAGATGGATCTTCTGTCTCCTTGAAACAGTAATCACAAGGGTGAATTTTCCAGTGGTTTTCAAATGATTGCAAAACTATTTTGCAAAGTAGTCCTGGGGGAAAATGCATAAATGGTCTTTAATGCAGCACAAATTTTTACACCTACCAGAAAAACAAATACATTGTGAAAATCAACAATTTTACAGTCAGATATGAGCATGGATTTGCTCAGCTGGCTGGTGGTGGATCACCCACAAAAGAGTTTGAAGGGTCTCTGTTAAGAACTGGGAAGTTAGGATTAGAAAAGTGTCTGACTTAAGAGGGAGTTTTAAGCAATTAACTCTGCAAACACACAAAAGTGAAGCACAAAGAAACACTAATGGGAAGAGATCATTAATGCAATCCATCCACATTCTCCATCTATACGCTCATTACCTGCTGACAACACCAATAGGATTTGCCTATATGAGGAAATGGGCCAAAATAGCTATTGCAGAATAAGCCATTCTTCAATAGCTTTCTGTTTGTCCCTGTGTAGACACTGTAGGAATAATTAGTGCACTTATTCTGTCCTAGAATAATTGCTGCACTAATTATTCCAGACTAAAGTATCTTTTATTCCGAAACAATTTGTCCACAAGGGGAGCTATTGTGGAATCGCTTGTGCTCCTCTGCTCAATTTCCATGTGTAAAAAGGCCGTAATCGGTGCGGCTGGAATAGCTGTACCCCAGACTCCAGGAGCAAATCAAACCGTAGACAAGTTCCAATTCTCACATTGCTCATGATGGTTTTCTTAAATTAATTGAACACACAGAGTTGTTGTGTAAACAGGATTCAGCTGAATGGCAATGAGTAAGCTCTCTTTAAGAGCTTTTCCTTTGTAAAATTATTTTAGTCACATTTGCATCCAAGCTTATTGAATTGGATTTAAAGATTGAGCGAGTAGAGGCTGACATGGCAGATGAGACTTTGCCCACTCTTTTGCAAAGTGTGAAATGCTGAAATTGGATAAGCACATATCATAATTAGCTAATTTGATGGGGTAGTTTTATCCAGAGGGTGTGTTTAGAAACACCACTGCTGTCACAGTTTTTTGTGATATATTGCAATTAAACTAAAAACTGATATGCCTAGACAGTGACCCTACAACACCATTAAAAACCTTTTAAAATGAAGGATGGGAATGGTGGTGTCAGGTCTTCCTAAACTGGAAGGGAAGTACCAATTCTATAGTCTACTACTGCCCTCCTTTCAGACAGAATCAAACCTCTATTTCTGTCTGTTTCTGGGGTACTTTTGGTTTGGTTGTTTTCTTAAAAATCTTTACATTTTCTCAAGGGAAGCATAACCTTATCAGAAAAATCTGTTCCCCCCTCTTTGATAAGGAAATGGCAGATAAAACAGTGAAATAGGTTCCCCCAAATCCTACCCACACGCAATTTAGCCTAATATTTGAGAATTGTAATGGTCAGATAGTAAGGTCGTTCAATACCCTACTTTTTGTGAAACTGCATACAAGATATTTAATATAAATACATTAATAAATATAAGTTTTCCACTTCTTTTTCACTTCCATATTTCATATGGGTGGCACTGTCCCACCGTTCAACCTCTTCCTTTTTCACTCTAGAGAGAAATCAAAATCAGTTTGGGATATGTTTCAAAATCAGTGGCATTATTGCTTATGAAATTTTCCATGATGTTTGCATGGTCATTTACCAACCTCTCCTGTGTCTGGCTAGGGTCTAGGAAGTCATCTAATATTTCTCAAAAGGCATTCATTGTCTTGAAGCATCCAGCCCCTGCTCACAGTATTATTTTCCTTTAAAGCCCTCAGCCTTTGATCTTGAAGATTATTTAACCCAGGATATATTGTTAATCAATAATTGCTCAAAATTTACTACTAAAATTTCTTTCTATAATATTCTAAGAATGGGCTGATGTACATTGATTTCTATCATAAACAGAATGAGGCATAGGAAAATTGTCATTAAGAACCTCCTTAACAGAAGAAAATATTGACATGTTCGACATCTGTAGCTACAGAAAGCTCTGCTGATGGATTTATTTTCACTTTAAAAATCTAATAGTATGAATTTGACTTATTGCAAATAACATTTGTCTATTTAAGGCTCATAAGACAGCTTTTTGTGATACTTGTAATAAGTTTTTTGTCAATTAAAGTTTCTGTTTATTTACGAGATGGATGCAATTAGAAATACAAGCTCTTCAGTATTCTCAGCCCAAACTCTTGTGTTTCTCATGTGCTACTGTAGCTGTTCTACCCTATTGAACTAGATTATGATTACTAGTTAAGAACTGAAAACACTACCACTTTTACTTCTTTCTGTTACTTTGTAAATAAATACTTTCAATTACAAAATTGTTCCCACAGAAATAGGAATTATGTTGAAAGTACCCCACTGCTGCTGTAACAGTTTCAGATTTATTGAATCCTTCTCACTGTATTACAATAGCTCCTGCTGTTTTACCTGGACTGCAGTAATACCAGACTCCAGCCTTGTATTTTGTAATGTTTCAAACCATCTGGGACAAAAAAAAAACCCTTCAACATTCTTCTATCTTTAAGTTTTTATAATCAGAATGGAAATGCTATAAAGAAATAGCAAAGGAGTTTTACAGTTATCTCAGATTTTACAGGCAAGGGTCTAATTTTATTTGCTTTTATTAAGGGCAACTCTAGCATAGCAGCACAGGCAATACAGCCAAGTGAGATCAGTGAGAGAACAAACATGTTTAGCATTAAAATGATGCTGAATTTGGAGAGACACCCTTCCTCTTCTGCAGCTATCCTTCATCTAGTGCTGTGCTTTTAAAGTCATTCTTGTGAGGACGTTTCATATCAGTTTCTTGGTATGATTCTCATAATGAGTAAAGAATGAATACAGGCCCTGGATATAGGCTCTATCACTGTATGAAGGTATGGCAAAAATTCAAATCCTTGCACAATTTCACCATCCTGTTGTTTTAGTACTGGATTGTTCTCATTTATTTTCCAACACACCAATAATTTCCAAATGAAAGCTGTGTGATGATACTCTTTGTTCCTTATATCTATATCTATATCTATATCTATCTATCTATCTATCTATCTATCTATCTATCTATCTATATATGCCTTTGTATTCAAACTTTGCCTCAATCTTTTAAATGGCTTCTTTAATTTAGGTCACTGAAAACAAGTTTTAGCTTGTTTACTGACCACTGCATCCCAAACAACAAAGACAAAAATTCTAAAGTAGCAAACGTTCCAGAGCAAAGAAGTGCTGACTTGGTCTTACACTATAAATAACTCCACTGGACCCTTATGGTGCACCAAGAGGAAGCTTTTTTTTTTCTTTTTCCTACTTAATCTTCATAGTCCTTGTTGCATATATGCATGGAAGAGAGGGAAAATCTGCTCCTACCTGCTACTCCTTAGTTCTTACTCATTTGAGCACCTATTAATCTAAAGCCAAATATTATTTACCTATTTAAATTGTATCACTGAGTTTAAAGGGATTATTCACTTGTCTAAACTGGTCCTAAGTAAATAAGAGTACTAAAGATACTAAAGTACTAAAGATACTTAGAGATTGTTCCAAAACAATATAAACAAAACCAGATCAGCTGTCTGTCAGTTGCTCACACAGAGATTCCAGAAAAGCTATCCATAACACATCAAATTCTTTCTTTTTATTTTCATTTTTGACAAAATATTCTTTCATGAACACAAGGGCAAGAAAAAAATCAAGTGCCAGATGGTGAGCTAGGGTATCAGCTATTGGATCCAATGGCACATTGAAAGCAGCCAAAATTCTCAAGGAAAGACATTTAATAGCATCTGAAAGAAAAAGCACCTGAATTCAGGGGAAAAAAGGAAAATAGAATCAGTGAAATAGACAACTGCAAAGCATGTCCACAGAGAGAATCACTGTGTAAGCCGAGATCAGAAGAAACTGAAATAGTTTCAAGAGAGCTGTTTAGACAGTGACTTTTATTATAAATTACATACACAGAGCAAGTCCTGCAAATAACCAGCTTTCCATGCCAGGACAACAGGGAGTCTGTATAGAAATTTATGCTGAATTTGTCAGAAGTACATGACATCTCTGGCTTTTGTGACATTCTTGTGCCTGTTTTTCACTGGTATTCTCTCCGCTCCCCAAAGCATTATGGAATGCTTCCTCTGTTCCATCCCTTGCCACCTTTGCAGATGCATTCACATTACTGAAACTAGCCCTCCATGAGATCCTGGCAGTTTAGAACAGCCTCAAGCAGAGAAAGAGATAAACACATATTTGTATAACTATGAAATGCCTCAGTTGAAGGTAAGCAAAGAAATTAGACTTGGAGAGTTCATAAGGGGAATGCAGATCGTAAAATCCATAGACTCCCTGAGAAAAAAATAATGGGCAAGCACTTTAAGCCTTTAACACACTGAGGATCATACAAAACGAGCTTGGCAAAGCACAATACACAGAACAGTCATTTGCAAACACCATACCATGCTCAAATCAGGAAATCATTCCATATAAACTCACTGATTTGAGGATTTGTTTTATGATGGGCTGTACAGTGAATTTCCAAATGCTCTGTCAAATCAGACCCTAATATCTATTTACAAGCTGCAGTCCATTCCTTTTTCAGTTTCTTACCAAATCCCAGCTCCCTGCCTGAGATTTAAGGGTTTTAGTTTTCCCTTTTGCAGTTAGGGGCTTTTCATTTTTTTCCCCAACACTGAAGTGTAAGCAGTGTCTTCAAACATAGTAACTCAAGCAACTACAATGTGATCACTCCAGACATCCACTAGTTTAACCAAGAAAAACATTTGGGCCGTAGAGAATTAGTCTCACAATCTGTTTTGAAATGTTTGTTGAACATAACAGATCCAACATGAAGACACCTCTAGACTGTGACAATAGGAAGTTTGAGAAAGAAACCGGCTTCATACAAGAATCTCAGCTGTGTCTCCTCAATGTCAGAGAAAAAAATTCTCTGAGGTCGGTTGATTCTCTAACTATTGACCATAGCATAATTTGACTTTCCTCTGAAACACATTCTTCTGGTTCCTTCCAATCATTGGACAAAGTGGACCACACATGAAATAAAATGGAAATAGCGTGGATATTTACACACTTCCATTTTCATTTATGGACCTAGAAAGAAAAGGACTTTGTAAAATTACTTTCTTCCAATTGATATCTAATACTTTTAATTATTCTTTCCGCAGTCCAAATTGAAGACCAGCTGAAATCCAGATGCCCCACAGATTTATATACACACCATCAAAGAATAGGAAGGGAACAGGATCCATTGTTATGCCCTTCTACTGCGGTACATAAATGCAGGACAGAAGAAGGGTGGAAAGGCAGGACCATGGCTGAAATTTACCCAAGGTTTTGGCTACCAGGACTGGCTGACAATATAAACAGAAAGATTTTTCATCCCCTGAAGTGGAGCAGCAGAATGACAACTACTTTGGGCTGCCAGGACACCTAGTAGGGCTTCTGCATTTCGAGACATGAGCCCTTGAGGCAATATGACTGAAGGGATGCGGCTCCCTCCAGCGCAGGGTTCTGCTTAAATGCAACACTGAGCCCTGGAAAAAGATATTAGCTCATTCCTCATTTGAGCTGCCAAACATACCAGGAGTACCTGGCAGCAGCTCCCTGCCATGCTGCCAACCATTCTAGGTACACAGCTGGCTCTTTCAGTGATTTCAGAAAAACTCAGAGGATTTACATCACAGCAGCAACAGCAGTGAAAGAACAAAATCAGCATTTGATTTCTTTGCACAGAGGTCTGTCCCAGACAACTTAAACCCACCTAGGCACAAACCTCCAGAATTAAGTAATGTCCTGCATGGCTCAAGCTCAGGTTCAACTCCATCTCTATAAATCAGATCATTAAACAGTTATTATCTGATTAACAGTTAACAAGCGACTGCCTCTCCCATTCTCAGAATGTTTTATGTTCACATCACAAGCAATCCTGCAAAGCCTTGATAGGTATATTCATTATTTATGGTCTGCCATAATTATATTTGGTACTTCTAGCTTAGCCTGCAGGAGGCAGTGTCATCTGTGCAATGCAGAACTTATCAATGCTAATGAACTTTCTCAGGGGTTTTAAAGACTGTGATTTCTCTTAAAACCAAGAAATTCAAAATGGCAAGAAATTTAGTAAGAACATCTAGTCTAGGGCAAAACTGGGAAGGGTGCCATCAGTTTAAAACATGAGGGTTTACCCTCAGATTTTTTCCTCTTCAAATAAAAACTACAACCTATCTTTTGGTTTCTACTTTAATGGTGTCCATGTTCTCAGTTCTTTGCATAAGTTTGCACAGACTGCTCTGGAGTTTCTTAATAGCAAGATATTGAAGTAGAAGCCAGTGCTCACCTTCAGGCTGGAGCTAGCTACCACTCACTGGCAGCATCTAATCTGCCTGCTTTTGAATGTTAAAATCAAAATAAGGTGATAAATCCAGATGGAGATATCTCTCTGTATTCTTCCTAATGCATTTTCAGTGAGTAAAAATCAAGAAAGTGGCTGGTAGTCATACAAACAGCATTGTTTCTATTGGTGTATATAGAGCCAGTGACATCTCTAGGATTATAAAAAGTTGAAAAATGTTAAGGACAGCAGTATGAAGAAGGAAGAGGGCTTCAGACTACACGGTACCCTATGGCTATGGCAGAAACTGTTCAAATCGAGAAACTGGTGAGACAGGGAAGGTTTCAAATACAAACACTCAGCTTTGAACTGAACCAGTGAAGAAAGAGATGATGAAACAGACACTCAACAAAGGCTCTTCACAGAATGCTAGACAAAGTTTCAGATTTATTTTTTTTTAAGTCTGCTAATTTGTGTTTATCATCACAATGAAAGTTTGGGCATGGAAAGATACTCAGAACTTAAAAGCTAAAACTGGACTGTCTACATTTCATTCTCTTTTTATTAACCATCAGTGAGTGTTCTGCATAGACACAGCCCATGAAAGTAATAATAGAGGGAAATTAATTAGATGACTATATTTCAATCATGGGGTTTTCTTGACATTTTCTACTAAAGGAATGCAGCTCAAGCAGTTTGTAACTGACAGCAATGCCATGAAATTGCACTACAGCCTTGATAATTATCCTCTTCATTATTTTTATAATATATAAAGAGATAAAGTACAACATCCTTCTTTCATTTTATAATAGTATGCAGTACAATGGAAGCAGCTGAAGGGGGATGTTTGTCTTACAATGCTACAGTTTAAATCCAGTGACAAGAAGTATCACATTAATGATGCACAGAGAAGAGCACTACAAGCAGCCATTTTTTATATAATTACTCCAGGAAAGCTGTAAATATATGGGATAGATAATATAGCCCAAACATTTTCTCATCCTCTTCCCCTAATATTCAAGAAATATCAATGTCAACTTGTTGGAAGGAAAAATATATTATTTCATTTACATAAATTTCCTTCAATCTTAAAAGTTAGTGTAATCAAAGCTTATGAAAATATTGATGACACAGAAAAGTTGATAATTTCTTTACCAACTTTTTCTTTCTTTTGTGCATTACACAAGCCCAGATAATTAATTGAAAGGGGAAGAGTCCATTTGGATCCAGATGGAGACACTGAAGGAGCAGAGGTCTTATCAAGGATTATGGAAAACTTTAATTAGGAAGAGTAGTAGTAAAGCAGCAACAATTCCATAAATTGACAAACTCTTTTGGATAATATTCAGAAAATGTAGTTAGGGAGGTCTCAGCTGGAACATGACAAACATATACAAGAAGATGAGAAGCTACTCTTTCCCTCTCTGCCACAGCATCAGCTCAAGTTGGTATATGAACAACAGAAGTCAGCTCCAGATGGCTACAAAAGAAGTCAGTCTGTTATCTTAGTAAGGCAGAGCTGGAAATCAGGATAACTTTATGAACAGCAACTTTTCAGGTAATTTCAGTAGAGGCTTCTGACTTAATTCTATAGAGATATGAAGCACTTAAAGCAGCTGTGGTGAACAGTAACCTCCTGTCTCTGAGCAAGAAGTTGGGATATTCCCTTGGTGTAACTCAAACAAAAAGTAAAATTTATTTAGTCTACGCAACATCGGGTTCTTAGTCTGAATTAATTTATCCTAATAACATGATGATATATGGTTCCTGTTGTAGATTGCCTGTCTCCAGGAGAGGAGCTGGATTCTTATTTTACTAACTAGAGTACCTTTAGAATTTCTTTCTTCAATCATTGTAAAGAAGCATAGCTTGCATATAACTGACAATCCATTGCTAACTTTATAATTTTTTCATATCACAAAAGGAATGGGAGACTGTGGAATCATGACTCCAAATAGGAGTGTTTCAGCCACAGAATACAGACTTGGACCATATTTGCTGCAGTATAAGGAAATTAACTTGAGGGTTTCTGACTGAAGCTTGTTCTTATTAGTCATATGATATGCTTGTATGTGGGTGCTCTATGCCACTTATCTCATCAGTCAGTTTCCCTGAGGTTTTTTTCCATATTCAAGCTTTAAATGGATCTTTTAAAACTGTGAAAAGAGAAAAAAAGAAAAAAGCCAGAAATATTTGGCTCTTTTCCCAGGTATTGTACATATCATAAAACATATCTTTCTGCATTTTCAAAGTAGTGTGTTCTTTTAAACATACCTGACAGCTCTAAGTGTTTTGGCGACACATACACTTTTGCAATGAGTTTTGGGTAAATCCACAACTTCAGTCATTCACTCATCAGTTTCTGTGTCACACAGCCCAGCCTGTTGTTTTCTGGAAACATGGATACAAGTCTCTGGGCAAGGGCAATGTCTGCTCTGCATTGCTGGCCTCTACAGCACAGAAATACAGAACATGGGGGAGGCAGGATGCTAAACACAGATCATATACATAACCCACACATCCATGGCACTGCCAGTGTGCTCTCTGCACAGGCATGACAGAGCTGATGCTTCCTCTTCACAAAAGGTTCACATGTGATGCAGGGCCAGTCCACGAGTGTGTCCTGAGTACAGAACTGTCAGATCTCATGCACACAGAGATCAGCTCAATGTGAGTGGCACATCTCTGAGACAAAACGAACCACTGCAATCTTGCCCAGTCACACAGTGGAAGATGTCCTTTAAGCATACTTACAGTCAACTTTATCACTAGGGAAAAGCAGTTTTCTGTTCTAAAACACGGTATGGCTCTTCAAGAATGCTCTCTTCAGTTGGGCATATACCCCAGGCATTTATTTTCATCGTTTTTCCATGGATCAGAACAGATGATGGTATTTTAGGGCATACAAGGAGTAAGGCAATACTTGCTTTTGATCCTAAAGAACAAAAGGCCAGCATTAACCGATGTGCAAAGACAGAAGAGCTGACTAAATGGGGGGGTGGGAATGGGGGGGAGAGAGAGAGAATCTGGCAGATCTTTGAAGTAATCCAAGGTCAAAAGTTTCCCCTTAAGAATATATGAGCAATGTGAACTTACCGTTCCCAGGAAGCCACCTCACAAGGTAAACACTTTCAGAAGACAAGTCCTTGAAACTCCTCATAGTGTCAAAGGTTGAAATGAGCAAAGTGGCAGCTGGTTTAAGGCACTTCTCCTTTGAAATCTTCAAACTTCCTTAATTTTCTGAGATGTTTGGCAGATAATAACAACAGTTCCCTAAGTATATATATATATATAAAAAAGAACCTACACCCTTGAAGTAAATAAAGGAATTCAAGATAAACCAAAAGAAAAACAAGAACCAGAAAAGCCCTCTGAACTGCTCCCACAAAAAAAAAAAAAAAAAAAAATCCCAGTGGTCAGATACTTCTAAAAATTAATGTGACTTGTGTGTGCAAAAATGTGAGCTACCAAAATTGCCCATTAGAACACAATCAGAGAGTGCTTTAGAAAGAGCTGAAACATTGAAGACCTTCTCACCCATAAATCAGGTGCTCATTATTTGCCTCAGCTGAATTTCCAGAGCAGCTTGCATGAACTTGGCAGTGCCCAGCCTGCTCACATCGCTCTCCAAGCAGTTTATGCTGAGAGGGTAAGTTAACACTGAGCTGACAGCGGGTGTGCGCACAAATCCTTCTAGCAATTTAACAAAGAGTTAAGGAAGGTTACCTGAAAGGAACCAAAGCATCCTCCTGTTTGAAATTGTAGAATTTTGTACTTTTATGTATAAACATAAGAAAATTCAGACTTATGGGAACAAAAATGTAACAACATTTCAAAACAGCTGTTGCTTAAATAGACATACATTATTTCCATTGATTAAAGCTAAAGTTAGTACTTTCACTTTTTCCATCGCTAAATCAATAGGATATTAAGCACATGAAAAGTCTTTAGTACATGGAAAGGACCATTAGATTAGGCCTGTTCACATAGGCACTACAATTTCCCACTGACTTAAGTACTTAAAAGAGATCTACAATTAGAAGAGAAACAAAGAGAGGAAGTTTTGTAAAATGAAAGCTTGAAGGGACATAAAGTACACAGCAGATACACTATCAGATTTCTTCATATGGAGGCACTGCTGCAACAGTGTTGTTTCTTCAAAGTGATAACCCTTCAACAACATAAAAATATACAGATTTTCAAACACAGTGAAATATTTTCTAATATGAACATCCTAAAAAGGGGAAATCAATAAATGGCATGAAAAACTTCAAAGACGGACCTCCTGTCAATGACAGAGGTTCTTCAGCAATGTAAAGTCTTTGAAGAAGGACTCCCAGTGCTGGGAAACCTTTGAAGTGACAGAAAGCAGACATTTATAATTATAGAAAGGTGCGGTGTCCAGCAGAGATAGTAAAAAGATATAACTGGGGTATGTGTGGGGGAGGTTGAGCACTGGCTTGGGCCCTGAGTGACCCTGCTCACTTGAAGCCTAAAAGCCTGCAAGGTCAAGCCTATATCCATATGAAAGAGACAATTTGTGAATCGGAGATGTGGGTAGGGCTTAGAAACCAAATTACTGCAGCTTTCACACTTCTGGCATATGTTTATTAAACAAGGCATCTCTCTTTTCTCACTGCCTCAGATTCCAGCACACACATACCCACACAGCCCCTTCTCACTTTGCAGCCCATGGTTCCCCTGAGGAGAGAGGGAGGCTTCTTATGTCCATTGGCACAGAAGCTGACTTCAAGTGAGGCAGTCCAGCTTTATTTATATTTATCTATATGGTTTTCATGAGTATATCACTCCTGAAATTTTTGCTTTTGTCTTCTCTGTTTTTCCTGGTTATTTCTTGACAAAGTGATGTAGAAATTGAGAGGAGTAAAAAATTATATTCTGGAAGAAAACAGAACTGTCTGGATTCTGGAGTTCTTTGAATTCTTGTGTGCTTGAAAGGGAAAACGTAAAAGTTTAATTTACATTAATAGATTTTCATCTTCTCCTCAGACTACAAAGCAAGTCTCTGCTGTGTCTTTGGAGCAGAGCAGGGTCTGCCCACACTCTGAGAGCAAAGTCATTTCAGCATGGTATTGAGCTCACACTTGTGTGCCCAGCTGAGAGACAGCAGAATTGGCTCATGCTTGTCTCTGCCTTTCATACATTCACATATCCAGGTTCTCCTAAAGCACAGGGTCAGGTCTCTTGCTTATACCCCAGCTTATCATAAAGCTTCATCCCCAATATTCGTTTTTAGTTATTTTCCTGTCTGTGATATGTGAAAAACATAGTATAGAAAAAGAAAAAAAGAAATCAGCATCTGAGATCCGACAAGATTTCCTGGGAAGATGAAATGAGAGACAAGCAAATGAATCAGCAGGTGTTGTTACCTTTTTGAACTCATCTGTTCATTTTCACTGTGCATTTAAGACCAGGATCTGGAAACAGGACTGATCACAGTGGGCTGAAATGGGACCCCAGTCAAGAGCTCTGTATTCCTCTGCCCTGGTATGAGGAGGACATTAGAGAATCCTCTTTCTCAGTGACCTAGAGCTCCACCTGTGAGCCTCAAATCCACACAGTCCCTTGGCTAGAAGGAAGTGAGCTATCAAAAGAGCAACACCAGCTCCCACAGTCTTGCATAGCTAAGAACTTCCAAGCAAAGGCTGGCAGGAGATGGCACCCTCTAAACCCTGAAATAAATGCATGAAAAATGATGTTTGATTACTCTTACACACACATGACATACAGTTTTCAAACCAGTGTGTAACCCAGTTTATGAATGGGAAAACTGAGAGACTGGAAAGAAATTCAGGCTGCCCTTGTAGAAAATGAAGTCTCAGCACAAACATAGCAACATTTATTAATGCAGGAAATTCAAAGCATTCAGCACTGACTCTATTTTTGTTTTCACATAATTTCCAGTCCAAGGTTATGCTCAGAACTGGAGAAAATAACACCAAAGTCCAATGGAGTCTTCAGAGAATTGCTGAAGCTTATTTTGTTGAACTCTTCTTCTGCTGGCCAGACAGCAACCATGTAATTAGGATAACTGTGCAATAGTGGTTTTAAGGGAGTGCTATAAAGAAAAACTCAAACTACAGTACATATAAAAGCACTGTATTTGTTTTCTCATGCATCAACAATTTAGTTTTTCTTCTGTTCAGGAGGTTGGCCTGAAGGGAATGGAAATCACAGAGATTATTACCTTTTTATAACTATCTTTCTAAAAGTTATGGCATCAGCTACATGAGGTGTGTAGTAAAAAGGAAAAAAAAAATCCTAAATGCCAATGGAGAGACCGTATGGAAACTCAGAAGCAATTATCATGCAGACAAAATTTTTAAGAGTAGTGATGAAATTAAGCATTATTGCCAGAAGATGTTTACTAAAAATATCTTTCAGGTCTTTCAAAATTTTGCTTGGAGGATTTGGCATGACAAAGAAAGCAGATGTCAGATAACACATAACACATCAAGAAAACAATAATATATTCTGAGCTTAAGAGTCCTGCTGGTGATATGGGACAAAAATATGCCTGGGCAATCTGAAATGGCTTTTAAGTAAAACAAAACCAAAACAAATTGAGACATTTTGAAGTGCCTACATAACACGTAAATTTTGTGCTACAAAAAGTTAGGCAACAGACAGTATAAACTCAGCAAAAACTGATATTACCCAAATGCAACAGATAAGTGGAAATTTTTTTCTGATGCGTAGTACTTGCTGTCTGTGTAATATGCATTACAAGATTCAGACCATTCTGAAGCAAGGTACACAGTGCTGTTTATACCACAGCTGTTAAATACCAACACTTTCATATAATAACCCCCCTGAATCCACAGCTGGACATCATTAAAAGAGGAGGGCACAAACATAAAGAGCTTCTCCAGCTGAGGAGGAAGGATACTTTCCTCATGGCTGCTGAGTGATGAGCCCTTCGTTCTGTGTGCTCTGGCACAAAACACAACACGGCAAGATCCACAGCCTCTCAGATACCCTGTCCCTGTCACTGGGCTCCTTCAGGGGTCACATACGGGATGTTCCCCTCTCTCACATCCTGCATTCTAGGATATTTCTGTGATCAGTTTAGCAGAGCACAGGTTACTGAGAGCAGCAGCTTTTGCCCTGGGCAGAATGAGGACACAGTGTCTGCTGATGATTTCAATGCCCTTCGGACAGCAGCACAGTACCAGAGGTCATTGTACACCACAGCCACTGGGGAAATGTCTTATTTGTAAATAGGGCCAGAGAAAAACAAAATTATGTTGAGTGCACTAATTACATACGGGGACATCCTGTATTGTAAGAAAGGATCTGAGTGACCATCCACTGAGAAACCAGTGGTGAGGTCTTAAACACAGGAACAAAAACAACCTGAATTTAATAACACAAAACAAAGAACAGACAATACTATGATGCAGAAGAGGGATATTGCAATACCACCAGTACCAGTATTTTTGTCAAATAGAAACACCTCCAGGCTCATTTCCAGGGCACACAGCTGCTATCATTTGTGTTACAGGTAAAAAAAGCTTAACAGTCTCGGTGGGAAGACAGGACAGACTACATTATTCAAGTATTTAAAAGAAAGAAATTGTCGAATTTAGCCACAGACTAAAAATCAAGAGAAAAAATAGCACAGAATGACCTAAAGTTACATACCTGGTTGATATTCCTGGTTTTTACTGTAGATAATAAGTTTGGTGAGTTTGCCAAGATGTCATCTTTGTCATATTCCTTTTTGCTGTTCTTTCCTTATATTTTCCCTGAGAACACAAGAATCAGATTTATGAAAAATGTATGCTGTTGTCAAGTACATACAAGTAATTTCTGTGAAGTGTTAACTAAGAAGGACTTATCTGCCAAAATTTAATGTTTGTTTTTAAGCACTTTTTATTTATATTCTACTGTGGGAATCATCAAAATATGATAATATATTGTTTAAATTCTAAACTTCAGATATAATAAACTAACCTGAGACAGGACAAATGCTGAGAACTCAGTAATTCTTCTTACACCCATTGCATTTCAGGTACCTCTCAAGCTCCAAAATGTACTTCAGATTCTAGAGATGTCTCAAAAAATTAAAAAAAACAAAACACAGACTTTTCATTTTTTTTCAAATATCAGTCAGAATACATTGCTTAATTCATAAAATAGTTTTTCCCCAACATACAGGAGCTGCAAACAATGAAATATTGAAATGCTGTATTAGCAGCTGACAGTGTAAATC